CTAAAATTTTGAAATACAAAACATGTATTCACAAGAGTAAGAGTGCGCTCAGTTGAAACAGAAACAATTTAACTGCTATGTGCTTTTAATTTATTATGATTTTATCACTACACATTAATCAATTGAACAAACACACAAACATAAAGTAAAGTATGTACACTATTCTAACACAATACAGGTGTAATATAATTAAAAAAAGGCATATATCAATATACAATGTCTCAATTCATTAATCATAAACGCAACTATTCTATTACGATTTGACTTGTATATTCATTTAAGAAAAAGTATATATTCGGAGAATATAATGAACAACGCACTGCGTTTAGCAGATCAAAAATGTTAAATCAGGTTGCTATTTACACCAAATGTAATACATGAATTCCCTTTTCCCCCTTTCGTATCAAAATCTGGAAACACCACTCAATGACAATAGAGTGTTCCTTCATCTTAAACTCACACGCACTGAGCAAGACAGATTTGCATATGACACCTCCTTTTGAAAAGTCGACTAGTACGTACATACTACTTTTGTCTCAAAACAAATGCAACGATATTTAGATTGGCATTGCATTAAAAAGTACATGATCATCGTCATTGAATTTCGTAGGTAATATTATTCTCGTATAGTAGTTCAAGTTCAAGTTCAAGTTCAATTTATTTCTCCACAAATGCAAAACATAGGGAGCTACATAAAATAAATGATAGAACACGTACATTATATATAAAAACGACTCCAGTTGGAGCAATGTATGTTTTAAAAAGAAAAAAAAAATCAGCAAATGTGGAAGGGGTAGTCAAAAATCAAAAATGATTTGTCGAGGACTACCCCCAAGAATAAACAAAAAATTATACAATTAAAACTTAAAAGTAAATATAAGGTAAAATGATGAGGGGGTACCAATAACGAGAAAGGAGAGGGAGACAAATATCAAAGACAGGGGGGGGGGGGGGCGGGGGTGCATCTACCTATATGGGAATGTTGTAAAGGATGGGTTACTTAACAGGAATAATCTTAACTTAGCCTTAAATAAATACAATGAAGAAAAAAATTTGATGTCAGGTGGAAGATGACTCCATAACATAGGTCCATTGAAGGGTATCCGTTTTTGTAAAACAGAAGTCTTAGCTATGGGTATATGGAAACTATTTGCATTTCTTGTAGCATATGAATGAATAGAAGAGTTCAGAATAAAAAGGTCATCAAAGACAGGTGGCAAGTTGTTATGTTTGTACTGGAACATGAATTGACCAAGCTGCATAATATATATAGAATTAACATTTAAAATATTCATCCGTTTAAATAGGGGTGCAGTATGTGCTCGGTAGGAAGATTTGGTTATCAAGCGTATGGCTTTCTTTTGAAGAACTAAAAGTCTATTCAGAAGGGTTACTGAGCAGTTGCCCCAAACAATATTTGCATACGACAAGTAAGGAAGCAGCAATGTATTATAAAGTTTACATAAGATTGGCAAAGTAAATAATTTATGTACAACATAAAGAATACCTATTGCACTTGAAATCTTGGAGGCAATGTGGTTAAGATGTGTATTCCAGTTTAAGCCTTCATCTACATATATTCCTAAAAAAATTGTTGAACAGACTCTGGATAAATATTCATCATTTAATCGCACATGTAATTCATCAACATCGAAATTAATATTTTTACCTTTAAACATCATATAATTAGTTTTAGTCATGTTGACCTTTAATTTATTAGCATAAAACCAACATGAAACCTTCTCCAATTCTGTTTTCAAATTCCCATTCAGTTGCTGAACAGATTTACCAGAGAAAAACATATTTGTGTCATCAGCAAATAATATAAAGGACAATACTCGAAGCATAATGAAGATCATTAATGAATAATAGAAACAATGGAGGGCCAATGATACTCCCTTGAGAAAATTCCAGTCACAATGTTACATAAATCAGAAGACTGTTGATCAATAGTAACAAATTGTTTACGATTATTTAAATCATTTTCAAACCAATTCAAGGAAATACCTCTAATAACAAAAAATTAAAGTTTTTGTAACAAATATGAATGATTGACAATATCGAAAGCCTTCGAAAAATCAAGAAAGATACTAATTGAAACCAGTTTGCTTTCTATGGCACGGGATACATAATTAATGAATTATATTAAAGTCATTGAGGTTGAATATTTCTGCCTGAATCCAAATTGTTATGAGAACAAAATATTATTTTTTATTAATATAGTCAATGAGTCTTCTGTAGACAAGTTTTTCTAAAATTTTGGAAAATACTGGTAAGATAGATATTGGTCGATAGTTGTCTAAACACTCTTTACCCTTACTTTTATATATAGGAACTACTTTGGCAATCTTTAGTTGATCCGGTATTGTTCCAGAGATAAAGGATTCGTTAAAAAGACAGCACAAATGATTTGTATACAAAAATTCAACAAATGTTGGATCTATATTATCGTATCCTGCACTTTTACCCACTTTCAATTCTTTAGCACAATTAATTATTTCTGATTCAGTTACAGGTTTAAGAAATAGAGAATTAACATAATTGCCTGTGAGATAATGTTTAAAATCTGTTCTCAGCAAAGGTATCGACTGATTCCCAATAGAACTGCCGATTGTACTGAAATATTCATTAAATTCCTTTGACATTTCAAGTTTATTGGCTATCTTTATGTTATCTTTAATAATAAAGTTAGGACTATTGTTTTGCTTTTTTGGCTTTATGATTTCACTCAAGTATTTCCAAGTCTTTTTTATATAATTTTGTATACTATGGAATTTCTTATAAAAATATTCTTGTTTTGCATGCCTAATGTTGTTGTTCAAAGAATTTCTAAAGTGTTCATGACGGCTCTCACGGTAAGGAGATGGATTCAGAATGAATTTAGTATAAACCTGTTTTTCTTTTTACATCTCTTTCTCAAATCATTAGTTAACCAAGGTCTAATGCAACTACTCCTTTTTACATAGACTTTCTTCAGAGGAAAGCATTCATTATACAGTTTCATAAAGGATTGTAGAAATATATCATATTTTACATTAATATTAGGTTCGTCATAAAATTCATTAAAATCTATTGCATGAAAATTTGCACTGAACATTTGTATACCAAGTTCAGATATCTTCCTACGGTAAAAAGATTCCTGTGACTCGTGTGGAGGTTCATTCCAAGAAATCGTGACAAAGATTGGCAGGTGGTCGGTTATATCAGTCAAAAGAATTCCAGCCTTCAAAATATTTACTCCAGTATTTGAGAAGATGTTATCAATAAGTGATGCTGTGTCTGCAGTGATTCTTGTTGGATTTAAAATGGCAGTACAGTAATAGAATAGTATTTATTTTTAAACTCTATCAAACCCCTCTCATTGGGGTATGAGAGTACAAAAAACACACAACATATTTTAGTATTACACGTACATTCTAAGTGTGCCCAAAGCAAATAAAACTGTTTGAAAAAATGACAAAATTACAAGATGAATCGTTCTGACTGTTTGACTGTTCTACCACTACGAGTAGATACACATTTTATTAACCCGTACGTAATAGTCCCTAACGTTGTATTAGTGCCTTATAAACTTTGTGTGAATTTTAAAAGAGTTTAGGCTAAAAATATAAAACTTAAAAGCATGTATATTTTTGTAACATGTGGCTTTTTCAAACATTACACAGATAGCGCGTTGAAAAGCATCCGAGCACCCCTGTCATCTGTACCTTTTCGCGCAAGCTCTCAAATGAAATGTTAATTCATGTTACAAAGATGGTGCTAAGAATACGGATTATCCTCTTATGAGATCATTCAATGTTTGTAGTGTATTGTTACGGAGGCATGGTAGCCAAATGAGATTTTTTTAAAGCAATACTGAGGTGGAGAAACCTGCCAAGAAGAGGTAAGTATTGTTTTTAAATTATATTATTTTTTGCTTCTCGTCCTGCAAAAATAGATTGAATACATATTCATACCAATTATTAAGAAGTATCCATTCAAATTTGTCAGTGGTGATCTAATCAAGAAATTAATGATCGGAAGGCCTTAAAAATGTAAAGGATTGTCTTCAACTGTATAAGCAAGAGCTATACGCTTATTGTGCACTCATTCAATTGAAGGCGTAATCTTCCAACATTTGGAAAATGCTACGTCTTACAAAAGAATCATAACTTTTGTAGTTTTAGCTTAGATCCTCTTTGAAATTGCACAAAGGTTAAAAGATACTAATACTAGGTTTTCCCGCCCAATTTCTTCAACTTTGCATGGAGTTTCATTGAGGAAAACTTAGTACTTTTAAAGATATTGCCAATCAGAAACTCGTTGCATTTTTTAATCATTATGATTTTCATGTAGCACTTTCCATCATCGTTTTATTTTATTTTGCTAGTTTAAATACATTTCTTTTGTAGATCTGTTAATATGTAACTTTCTCTTTATAAGTGAACATGCCTTCCTATACTTAATTCTCTCCTCTCTTCCTTTCACTATTTTTTCTTTCCTATCAACGTTCTGTTATATACAATGTAATTTTCATAATAATGTCTATAATGTTCTTTCGGTAACTGTGTTAATTTATTATGGGCGTTCCCAACTCGAGCTACGCTTTCCGGGTTTTCGCCTCCTTCCGTCTCTGAATTAATTACTGTATAATCTATGTTGAAATAATTGTTACATATATCATGTATATATACATTGTGTTTTATATTGTGCTGTTGAGAAGGAAATAAATGTTAATAAATACAATACAATACAATCTGTAAAGTGCAAAAACGCAATTTGAATCATGTGCTATTAAAACCCAAATCTAATTTCCTATCATTAATATTTACTAATACTACTCATAATACCACTACTTCTAGCTTACTACTAATACAATTACTGTTATTAATATCGCTTTCATTATTATGAAAAACTTGATGTCAAACACATATCAAGGCATCAAACTGCAAATGATACGCCTAGCCGTTTATTGATTGATAAACAACTTCATTTTGATTCATGAATAAAGTCTGTTTGATTCATATTTCCTGGGCATTCTTCATGAAATATTTACAACCAAGTTGTTGTTCTATGATCATAATCTCACGTGCTAGGTCTAGGAAGCCATGCTCTACGAGTTTATCATTTAAGTCTCTGTGTTTCTCGGCCATCGCTATCATCTTAGGATTCATCTTTGCCAAGACATTATGCCAAGAACCCCTCATACCTATAGTCCAGTTAGCCACCCAGTCGTAGATCTGCCTGGAGATCTCGTTGTACGGTGTAGTCATATGCCAGAGTTCCTCATCTCCACTCAGTTGAAGTAGCTCCCCAAGGATTCTTCTTTGATCATGAGTCGATCCCCAAACTATGTGTTCAATGAATGCGAGACTTGTGTGTTCGGTGATGTATTCGCCTGTTAGAAGGAAGGAGGTAAAGGCCACACTTAGAAGATATGTTTTGTTCTATCAGAATGTTCACGCAATGAGTGGCAACATTACACTCTTGCACAATTTCCGGTTATACTTATTATTTTGGACGTGACTTGATATTTGAAATGCATACCTCTCGATCATCATTTAACAAGGCTACTGAGCACAGGAATAGTTATAGTTTATACGCAGATGACTCAAGCATATTTTATCCTCATCAGAATCCTCAAATTCTTGTTGAAACTGTACAAATTCGGACCTTGAGAATATTGCACAGTGGATTTTTGCGAATAGACTGTCACTGAACTTGGACAAAACCAATTTCATATTATTTAGCAATTCAATCTCCGATTTACCTGGAGATATCTATGTCAAAAATTGTCATTATTAAGAAAGTAAAATCGACTAAGTTTATCGATGATAGAATGACCTGGAAAATACATACAAATTATTTGTGTTCATTACTATCAAGAAATGCTGGTGTGATATACAAACTGAAACCTATGTTCCCATCATATGTATTGCAAATGTTGTACTCCACGTTAATGTTGCCCTACTCGAACTATGGTATTCTTGCCTGGGGTAGTTCTGGTTGTTCAAAAAAGAGCAATACGAACAATTTGCAATGCATCTATTCGTACTCACTCGAGCCCACTTTTCTTAAATACTAAAGTACTGAGAGTTCGGGATATTTTTAATTTACAATAAGGCTGCCTCATGTTTCAGCTGAATAACAATTTCTTAATTTCTTAATTTGTTTAAGAAAAAGAAACCAAGTCCACGACTATCCTACCCGACAGCCGGCCTCCCCCATACTCTGTGAACGGAGGGATACCATGCGTGTTACGAAAATGTCCGGTAAAGGGGTTTCAATAATTCATTGAATTTCCCCCCTGTCCCCAACAGAAAAAAATCTTCTGTGTGCCCATGCCTTGAGCCATAATGCATGGCCATACCAGGGAGGTGAGACTGCCCTGGCCATACGGAGGATTTTTTTAATGTTGGGGACCGGGGTAAAATTCAATGAATTATTGATAATTTATTGCATTTTCTCTGTTCTACATTCTTTGCTTAAATTCATTTTATAATTAAAAAAAAATGGGGGGGGGGGGGGCCTCAACCCAGCATGCCCCCCTTCTCACCCAGGACGATTATAGCTGCACTAATTTGCACACATATGCTCTCTTTATACCTGCAATGATTTCATCTGCGAGACCAGGCTTCCCGTTTCTCCGTAGTTCACGAGCTAAAGCTGCACGATAGTTGAAAACCGATGAACGTGGCTTCTCTTTCCATATTTTAACCAGCTCAAATGATGTAAATGAGTGCGCGGCATCAATATAGTCAGCTATTTCTTGGTCAGTCTGCTGTAGCGCATCTACAAAATTACCAGATTCTTCGGCAAGCATGCAAGAGGTAGCTTCAAAATGGAAAATAGTCAACAAGATCAAATTCTGAAACGGCCTAATTACACGAGTGTATTACATGTATTTGACTAAATGAAATCAATACCACGATTACGGATTCGACTACCCAACGTTCTTTTCTTTTGCTTGATAGTAAGGTGATCACACTGCCTGTGCAAACAGTCTGCCCCGCGAACACACACACACACACACAACAGCAGTCAGTTGGTAGAAATAGCAATTTTCGTAAATGTATTTTAAAAAAACTAAACAATATTTTTTAATTTTTATTTCACATATATTTCAAGCATACCTTTAACTACAATTTTGTGTAGTTTCATTGTTATAAGCATGTGAGAAATATATTAATTATTTAATTAAAATATTGTCTTTTCAGCCATGTGTGACATGGCCCGCTGATTTGGCAAGACGTTAATCTACATTTGCCAGGGGTACTTTTCACGCAACAAAGTCCTGCTCGTAATACACGAAAAATCGGCCCGTATTGACTTTACACACCGGACTTAGGGGGGAGGGGGTGGGGGGGGGGGTGCTTTCAAAGGGAGGGAACATGCATATGCGTACCCTAAATAACACTGAGTGAGGGGGGGGGTGGGATTCTGATACTCTCTCAGCCGAGGGAAGGGGTTGCCCCCTTGGAATCTCGGCCATGGAATGACGAAAAATTATTAAAATTGGCATATTGATAGGGTATCTATAAGAATAAGTCCGTGAAATTTCATATGTGTGTGTGTGCGTGCGCCATATGCTGGCGACCCCGTTTTGGGCTCCTCCAATTTTTTTCTGTTTTTTTTTTTGCATTGTCTTTTGTGATTTGTGAGGTTGTGAGTGCCTCAATTCGACTAGTATGATGCATGGATACCACAGGACAGTTGTTGACTGATTTTGGAATCTCAGCCCTTCAGAAGTCTTGGTATCATTTTTTTTCTGATCGTGGACTCATTTCACTTGTACTTACCTGGTGTTCCATATGTGCCTTAACGTGCCATGTTCTAGAGTTCAAGTGACTTGAATTAAGTGCCTTTCATGAGCAACCAAGCAGAACAACAATGTGAAGTTCAGGCAGTGGTCTATTGTCTATTGTGTAACTTCTATTCAGTAGCACCAATGACAATAGCTCTACACAAGGACTGTCCCCAGGAATGCCTCCTATCCAATATAGTGCTGGTGAACTGAAGTCAATATGGAAAGGTATGAATTCACTTCAGCGCAAGCTTCCATCTTCTACTTATGGACAACTGGAGACCTTTGGAATACAGAAGAGGCGCTATGGACATAGGGGCTGCCAAGGTGGTAAGAAGAAGATTATTCTGAGTGAAACAATATCTAGGAAGTGTACTTCCCATTCTGCTGCACATGTTCTACTAACTCTTGGACTGATTAACTGTCAATCAGCATGTAATAAATCTGATTTGATTAAGGATCATCTGATTGATCATGATGTTGATGTTTTAGCATTGACTGAAACCTGGTTCAAGTGTAGTGAGCCTCAGAACGCGGCCAGAATAACTCCGTCTAGATACAGACTGCTACACGTCCCTCGGAAGTATCGTAGGGGTGGGGGTGTAGATCTCTTATACAAGTCAAGCTTGTGCGTTAAAGCTACCAACATCAAACCAAATTCATTTGAGTTTATAGAAACTGAACTGTCCCACGGTAGTGTGAAGTTCAAGGTAATCGTGGTTTATCGTCCACCACCATCACGCAAGAACAGTTCTACGTTCACCGAGTTCATCCAAGATTTTTCGGCTATGCTGGATAGACATTCCTTGTTTACGGGGAAACTATTTATTCTTGGAGACTTTAATGTCCACTGGGATAATCAACAATCCAGTGACACCAGAGCTTTGCAGAGACTACTCTTTGGTCATAATCTGCAGCAAATAGTGGACGAAAGTACTCATGAGTCAGGTCATTCTTGACCTGGTCATCATCCGCATTGATGCCGAGAACATTATTTCTGTGCTTATCCAGGACTCTATATCAGATCACAGCTCGGTTCACTGTCTCCTTCAGCTAGACAAACCTAAACCTGTGAAGAAGAAGATGACCTATACCGTACGTTGAAGTCTATCAATCCTGCTCAGCTTAGACCGGATATTGAAGATTCAAGTCTACTTTAAAACTTCTGTGGTGCTGTTGATGACTTAGTTCACCAGTATAATGTAATGCTAAGGGAATTGCTGGATAAACATGCTCCGTTGCAAACATGTGTTATTGTGGAACAGCCGGCAGTCACTTGGTACAATGAGGATATCGCTAATGCGAATTAAGCGACAGCTTGAACGACGATGTCGGTGGACTAAGGCTTTAGTTGATAAAGAAATCTTCAGAAAGCAGAGAAATCGAGTCAACGAATTGTTTGCTGATGCTAAAGCCGACTTCTAAAATGAACTCATAGTAGATTGTGGAAACGACCAGAATGCACTCTACGCCATCATCAATAAGCTCCTGCACCGAAAGACTAAATCGACTTCGGCACTTCCACATCATTCCTCAACTGGTGACCTAGCCTCTAAATTCTCAAGGTATTTTATTGGTAAGATTGAGTCCATTAGATGCAACCTGCAGTCAGATATGTCTTCGACTGATGGAGTAGAGTTAGACAATGATGTAACCTTCTTTTGCAGTGAGCGTCTGACTACACTTGCGCCCACAAGTCCGCTAGAGGTGCATAAAGTAATTCGAAGGACCCCTGCCAAGTCATGTTCGCTGGATCCGATTCCTACCTCAGTTGTAAAGGAAAATGATGACTTGATGGCTATGCTTATTTCAAAGATAGTCAATGCTTCTCTACAGGAAGGGAAGTTTCCGGAAGAACTGAAACTTGCTCACGTTACTCCTGTACTGAAGATTTCATCCCTAGATCATGATCAGATGAGCAGTTATAGGTCTATATCTAACCTGCCTTTCCTCGCCAAAGTCCTCGAGAAAGTAGTCGCCAAAAGACTGGCATCACACCTTCAGGACTGCGACCTTCATGAGACCATGCAGTCTGCGTACAAGAGGCTTCACAGCGTGGAGACTGCTCTTCTGAAAATATCTAACGACATCCTGAGGGCAGTCGACAACAAGAAAGCAGACTTATCTGCTGCATTTGATACAATTGATCACAAAATCCTTCTCCAGAGGCTTCAACGGGACTTCAAGGTTGATGACACTGCCCTGGAATGGTTCAGGTCACATCTTCACTGCGGACGACAGGCTGTGAACATTAATGTCGGATGAAGCTTCCTTGACCTACGGCGTTCCACAGGGTTTCGTCCTCGGACCGATACTCTTTACGTTATACACTTCCCCTCTTGGGAACGTAGCCCGTCAACATGGTCTACAAGTCCACTTCTACGCAGATGACACTCAGCTGTATGTGACATTCGATCCAAGAGTAGCAACTTACGGTAAGCGCCCGTAACCTTGGGGTCTACTTTGATCAGTCCATGAAAATGGACAGGCATATTTCACAGCTATGTCAGACCGCTTACTTCCAGCTTCGTAACATTGCAGCCATTAGACCATTACCTACGAGGATGCCCGACCCCCCACTCCGGGGTCGGAATGACCGCATGCGTGTTACCAAAATGTCCGGTAAAGGGGTACTTTTCACGCACCAAAGTCCGGCTCGTAGTACATACAATTGACTTTACACACCGGACTTAGGGGGTGTTTTCAAAAGGAGAGAACACGCATATGCGTACCCTAAAAATACCGAGTAGCGGGCGAGGATGGCAGCAGAAAGCCTTATCCATTCACTCATTTCCGCTAGACTTGATTTCTGTAACAGTCTTCTAGCTGGCCTTCCTTCTGCAACCTTGAACAGACTTCAAGCAGTACCGAATGCAGCAATACGTTTGCTTACTGGGCCGAGGAAGCATGATCACATCTCTCCTGTCCTGGCTGAGCTACATCGAATTCAAGGTCCTGCTGCTCACATTTAAGGCAATTCATGGCCAGACCCCAGGATATGTGTCATCTTTAATCGAGCGGCGTCATCTTCGCCCTGGACTTCGCTCATCTGGCATCACTCATTTCAAGGGATATGGAGACCGGCCATTTTCCTCTATTGCTCCTCGCCTGTGGAATTCCCTCCCATCATCTATTCGCGAAATTGAAATTGGACCACTTCAAAGCTTCACTCAAAACTCACATCTTTCTACAGACATTTAAATGCTAATTTTATTGGAGGAGCTCGCGCCTTTGAATGTTTTTTTCGGCAGTCCGGATTGACATGCCCCGCGGTCCGGACTTTGAGAAGCCCTGCTGTATCACATGAACCGTTTTCACACCTGGATTTTTGCAGGGCTAAGAGGGTTTTTAGCTCTGCAAGTTCACGGACTATCTTCTGTGTTCACACCTGGTTTTCCGAAAGTGGGTTTGCACCGCAAGTTCCTGGGCTAAGCTGGCCCTGCTCCCGAGTAGGTTTAGCGCGGCAATTGCGGCACTAACGGCGCTAACCCCGCAATTGCCGGGCGAACCTGTCAGGTGGGAAAGCATGAGCCGTTAGCCCGGGATATCTTTCGAATGATGGTGCATGTATGAATAATCAAAAACACGAACCGGCACCCATAACAACGGCGAGTTTTCGTGGTACAGCTAGGAATACATTTTATTTACGTGTGTACATTCAATCAGTGCAGCTCAGGCTCGTGAAAACGTACACTTGTGTGTATGTTGTCAATTCGCACAGATCATTTATTTGAAATCGTATTAAAACTGTGGCGCGCCATTTTGAAGAACGGCTTGCAACGAACAGTCACATATCACGAATCAATTTACGTTCACGTATTGCGCCCTCTCGTGAAACAGGTCACCCAAATCTACAAAGAGTTGGATTACGTGACCCAAATTTTTTTTTGATTTGCTATATGCAATCTACGAAAGCTCACGTAAATTGACGCTGGTGTTTAAGAAAATAATGAAAATTGTCATTGAGAAGAGACTAATGGGAAAAAAGCTGCTTCAGGCCAGAATCTGTTGTGTAACTCTGTGGTTTACTCTGTGTATATGTATGCTCGACTAATTCAGTAAATGGATGAAACAAATACTACTACTATTATTTCTTGTACTAAAATAAAATGTAAAAAATATATAATGTACAATAAAATGTAAAAATATAAAATATAGTATCTTGTACGGTGCAATGATCGACGTGGCGATCGAGGCTAGCTGGCGCGGATCAAGGGGGGGGGGGGGCCTTGCCCCTCGCAAAATAAGGGGGATATCAGTTGCAAATTTCCTGCCAACAAGTTGCAGTTAGGGGGGCCAAAAGGCCCTTGCCCGCCCCCCCCCCCCCCCCCCCCCCCAAAAAAAAAGGGGGGGAAGGGAAAGGGAAAGAGGAGAGCTAAAAGGGTACAAAAAAGAGGAACAAGAAAAGAAAAAGGTGAAAAGAAGGGGAAAACAGTTGCGATTAATCCCGCCAACAATGTGTGGATCGGGGGGCTGAAAGGCCCTTGCCACCCCCTTGCAAACTTGAAACAGAGAGAAGGAAGGGAAAGGAAAGAAAAAGAGGAGAGAAAGGGAAAGAAAAAAGAGAAAGAAGTAAGGTAGGGAAGATCAGTTACGATGTTTCCCGCCAACAAGGTGTAGATCGGGGCGGGGGGGGGGGCACTGGCGTACAGATGGGGGGGGGGGGGGAAGGATTGGGAAGGGGCGGTGGGGTGACAGATGCCCCAAAGATATATAATTAGATACCGGTGATTATAAATGTTGCTGAAATGACATAATTTTCCGAGATTTTGGCTCAATGTTTAGTAAATTCATAAAAAAAGAAAGAAATAAGAATGACCTGCATTTGTCACAAATAATAAGGTGTCCAAATTTGCTCATCTGACCGTGATTAAGTACCTAAAACCCCTGAGCTTCTGGGGGCTCTGGCCCCTGAATTCCACCTAGGGCCCTAAGGCGGGCATCTGGATGCTCATCTGACGGTAATTAAATGCCTATACCCCCTGAGCTTCTGGGGGCTCCACCACTTAACTCTCACAGGGGCTTCGCCCCTAGGCCCCACTACAATTTACGCAACGCTCTACCTGATCGTAAATACCACCCCCACCACCTACTTAGAGAAGCGTTCAGCGGGGCATGCATGTAAGAGTGGGGTGGTGCAGATTTTTTCGTCTACCCCCCCCCCCCCATCCCCAAACGATTTTGCTAATTTCGCCACTGCCGGTGTCACCATTACGTACCAATATTTGGCTCGCAAACAAATTCAAATTTGGCCCCCCCCCCTTTATCGATGATACAAAGTGAGAATGTAAGTATACTTAGGGATGATTATAACTTTAACTATAATTTTTCAGCTGTTGTGATTTCAGCTGGTATAAACTCTGTAATGACATGCTTATTTTAACTTTAGCTAATCATTATAATGATTAAATAATGCGATTAAAAGTGAATGGGACACCGATTTGTCTTGCCATATTCCACTTCCAGTCGTTCAAAAAGTCATGCATAACTTTACGAACGTGCATCTTTATGAAACACTAGGCCAGGCCATCAGCAGTCTTACTCTCACTCTGTCTCACTCGACTAATTATTTTCAACCAGGAAGCTCGGCGAGGCTAGGCCAGTAGCTAGGCCAATGCATGCATACAAAAATGCATGCCCAAAGTCCACTGAAGTGGCAAAGCAGTGTTGTGCCGTGGCCGCGAAGCCGTAGATAGTATCGCATGTCACTACAGAGTCTATACTAGCTGTAGCTGAAATCACAACAGCTGAAAAGTTATACTTATAATCATCCAAAAGTATACTTACATCTAGACCGAAAGCTTCAGTCTCTATACCGTCGGTTGTTCCACTGAGACTACGTCTGGCTCCACTAGACCTCCGGTTATAGAGACAGAACGATCGCCTATGCCAGCCTATGTTGAAGATATCACGGCTAGATTTTAGCCGTTAGGCCCCTCCCACAAACATGAACAAACTTGCCACGGCCGTATTGTTATGCCCCCAAAATCCCCCAAAATGTCATTTTACCTCGTGCATATCCAATTTTACATTAGGCCTAGGCTATAATACATCGGTTCCACTTACTAATTTGATTGAAATAATCCGTTTAATGGTCTCTTTTAAGGAAATTATGGGTCAAAATCGACATCCATGTTGAAAATCTTGCAAGCCGTGTTAAACTCTCGCTGCCGTCAATCTCATCCCTTCTAGTCTACGCCGAAGGCAAAATAATTATGAAGGAAAAACTGTGCGCCATCTACACGTTCGTAATGGCGTTATCACAGTTTTTCCTTCATAATCATTTTTGCCTTCGGCGTAGACTAGAAGGGATGAGATTGACGGCAGCGAGAGTTTAACACGGCTTGCAAGATTTTCAACATGGATGTCGATTTTGACCCATAATTTCCTTAAAAGGGACCATTAAACGGATTATTTCAATCAAGTTAGTAAGTGGAACCGATGTATTATAGCCTAGGCCTAATGTAAAATTGGATATGCACGAGGTAAAATGACATTTTGGGGGATTTTGGGGGCATAACAATACGGCCGTGGCAAGTTTGTTCATTTTTGTGGGAGGGGCCTAACGGCTAAAATCTAGCCGTGATATCTTCAACATAGGCTGGCATAGGCGATCGTTCTGTCTCTATAACCGGAGGTCTAGTGGAGCCAGACGTAGTCTCAGTGGAACAACCGACGGTATAGAGACTGAAGCTTTCGGTCTAACTTACATCCTGACTTTGTATCATCGATAATCTGCGGCTCGCTGAGCGCTGGCTAGCCTCGATCGCCACGTCGTTGAACGTACCATGCCGGCCTCGTCCTCGTCGATATCGTCGCGACGCGTTGTCAGCTAGCTAGTCGCAAGCGATACGTATACTGTACGTACGCACATACATTAATCATATTACGGTGGCATCATGACTAGTCTTAGTAACAAGCGCTTGCAATTTTAAAAATATTGATTAAACACTCACGTCACGTTTTGGTAGACATGATCATTCGTGTTTTACCGACGTGGAAAATAACGAATGTTAGGCCCTACACTTCGTAAATTAGAGTTACCTATTCTAAGAAACAGCGCAAAACGTGAACGTGACACGTGATACGTGATATGTGACTGCTCGTTGCAAGCCTTGAAGAACGAAGTCGACTGCCAACTTTGGTTGTGGAGTCGTAGAACTGCACTGCGCGTGCGCACATGCTATGTCATTTCAATCTTCTAAATATTCCGATAGTCCCGGGCTAATGCATAGCAGATGTAAAAATAGGCAACGTTTTAAAGCCCGGGCTAAAAGTTAACCCGGGTTAATATACCAGGTGTGAAAACATAATTTCTTAGCCCGGGCTATCCTTATCCAGGGCTAAGGATAGCTAGGGTTATCTGGTGTGAAAATAAAAACGTTAATGCATTAAAAGATAGGTTCTTACCTTGATCAGCACGCCTTCCTGCGCTTTGGTTTGTTGCTACGGAGATATAACAAAGCTCACCATAGCTCATGTTGTACTCTTGAAAATCAAAACAGTCAAAAACAAAAAATGCTAGACATAAATTTCCTTTTCTTTGAACAATATATTTATTATTAAACGATGTTGTAGGGAAGATTTGCGACTACAAGTAAATTTCAACTGTATATTATCAGCACCTAATCTTATAATGTGGATATCGACTCTAGCTATCGAGTAAGTGGCCACTTGCTTTTTTACTAGGTGCCTTATCTATTCCAAACATTGGCGACCAAGGCTTTCCATCTAGTACCTCTATCTCTGGTTCCACTAAGGTCCGGGGGGGGGGGGGGGTACTCAGATTTGGTTTGGACGGGGTTGTGCCGCTGAAGCATCGAAACCCCTACACATATTTTAGGGTCATTTGGGGGATTTTTCCCACAAGTAAAGTACTTCTTTCGCAATTTTTAGGGACCCTTTTTTAGGGATATTTTTGTTAAAAATTGGACCCATGTTAAGGAAATTTTTGAGAAAAAATGACCCATTAGGCGGCATCCCCGTATGTTTTAATATGTGAGTACCCCCCTGGACTATAAGATCAATCAAAGTTCTTAAAATTGTTTTACTACAAAATGAATCTTGCCATAGCATTTTTATAACTGGGTGATCCTTGTGTACTTTACACATTGATTATTAATATCATTCTTACCAAACAATCCTGTAATAGCGACATTTCGATAGTGATGTACCGCTATCGAATTGTAGAAGAGAGATCGTTTATAGTCCTCCCCAACGAACTGTAGGAGTTGACCTTCCAAGGGTGCGCATACATCTGTAATGAGTAACTTAATGGTACCAATCTCAAGATGTGAAGGACGAAACGTGGGTCGATATGATTTCAGTTCTGTGGCATTGATTTGTAGCTTTTTAGCGATAGGGAAAAGATCATGCATGAGCAGATGAAAAGCCAGATCAACGAGTTCAGCTTTGTAGATGTATGGTCCTCTCATAGTTGGCAGCACACCTGGAGATTACAAACAGACAACCTTGTGAATGATTACGTCTATATACCAGGGATTACAGGCCACGAACATAATGTATGTTCCAAACATGTTTTTTTTTTATAATGATCATTACAGTTTAACCTGACGATGTATTTCTAATAAAACAGAGTAAATAAACACAACCATAAAATTGCGAGGCAATTCTAATTTAGATTAGTATTACATTGACGCTTATCTTCATGAATATTCATAGCCATCTAGTTGGTCGAAATTGGAGTCGTGATTTTACCCATGCCCGCCTATACCGGCCAATAGTCTGTTAAAAGGTGCCCGCGTGCCCGCCTACCGGTCAATAGTCATTTAAAAGATGCTTGCATCCCCGCCTAAACCGGTCGATAGTCTTTTAAAAGATGCCCGCATAAATAAATTTTGGTGAGATATCCCCATTGGTTTACGTGTAAAAAGTTTATTTGTGCGAGCACGGATACAAAATACACTGCAATGTTTGTGCGATTCCCGAATGATAGTAACATTCAGGCAACTTTCCAGCGAAGATTTACAGACAATGTCTTACATTTTCTGTGTTTTTTTACCCAGTCTTTACATTAAAAAAAAGGATAAGATTTTTGTAAATTCGGTATATAAAAGATATAAAGACTGCTTTAATATTCGAGGCATATTTGTTTTTATATGCTCTTGAGGACGTTACATCCTGATATCAGCCCTCAACACGCCTCGGGGTGATATCAGGATGTAACGTTCCCTTGAGCCTATAAAAAAACCCTCTCATAGCAGTCATATCAATAATATAAACATGAAAAATGCGACTGCGTCTTTTATATGCCCCCCGCCTTAAATTCAGTGAAGGTAATGGATGGAATAATTCTTGAAATATCCATGATGAAAACAAAAAGCATGAAATGAAATGTCAACCAAAGACTATGATCTTTGACCTTTGACCGGTTATTTAAAAAATCTTATCAGATCGTCTCCCTTTGGTGATACATGTTTTCACCAAGTTTAGTCACGTGGACCGACGTAGTAGTAGGTCCATGGTTGAAGCTCATACCTAGTAGTTCTTGAGATATCGCGATAACAAGGCTATTACCTGACATTTCAGAGAATGACATATGACCTTTGATCTTTGAACTACCTACCCCATAATTTTGATCAGGACGTCTTCCTATGATGGTACACGTTATCACCAAGTGTGAAGTTCATACCTCATGAGATATCGCGATAACGAGGGCAATACCTGTAATGTCAGAGATTGACGCATGTGACCTTTTGCTGTGACCTAGTGAGTAACTCACCCCACTGCATATCACAAAGTACGGGGTTCAAATCCAAGCACAGCATTAACGTCCTACCTTTGCAATGCGAAAGTTATGGTAGTTTGCTCTACATTATATTGCGAGCGTCTGTAAAATGACGCCTGGCTGGAATGCTCCCCAATGACAGAGACATTATGTATTAAGCGCTATATAAAATCGGAATATTATCATCTATATTTCCAAGAGGCGAGTCAGATCGCTTTCTTATAATAATACAGATCGTCACCAAGTTTGAAATTCTTGCCTCAAGCGGTTCTTGAGATATCGCGATAACGAGAAAGTGGGACGGACGGACGGAAGGCCGCGTAACCCGAAAACCACAATGCCTCCGGCACCAAATTTGGTTGGTGGAGGCATAACAAAATATATGTATGTGATAAGAAGATACCTCTGAGGTTGTTTGATTGTAAGACCGAAGAGAGTTGCATGAATTTCTCCTCTAAAGGTTTTTCTGTCGTCTCGCTTTTCCATTCACAAAGACTGTCAAACCTTTTCCTTTCATCTTTAGCATCATCATCACTGTAGGCAATGTGTAATTCCTTGCAGATTTCCTTCATTGATTCTTGGGTAAGATGATGTGACATCGATTCGAGTTCCTCTAGTGAAGGCCAGATCTGATCTAAGTTGGGATCTAACCATAAACAAATGTAAAATTTCTTAATAAGACAGTTCGATTATAGAACATCGTCCGGTCGACTTTAGTTATAACGAGATGTGTATTTAAAAAATATGTTCAATTTGAAGACGATATCATGTATACGGGCACCTTATCAGGGGCACATCGCCTTTGGCATACAACGAAACTGCCCCCGCCCTCGTAATTGTTTTCCCTCTTGAGTCCGGACCCCAGTATGAACTCATTCGCATACAGCCAATCAGAGCTCACCTTGTCAATAACAAGCTTTACGTGTGCTAAAGATTTTACGGATGCGAAACAGCGCCTTGCTATTACAAGTGTGCGTGCATAGCCATGACAGAAGCTTGCAAATGTTTCATTTGTGCTTTAGCAAATTAATTATAGATCTACACCTCTAATAACAGGCGCGGATCCAGGTGACGATTTTCCGGCCTGCCCCCCCCCCCTCCATCCCCCTGCTTATTTACCGGCCGGCTGAGTCGGCGCTAAATTTGTCTCAAGATTTGACCCCCCCCCCCTCTTGTCGTTGGCTGGATCCGCCCCTGTCTAATAATATCAGCTGTTGAAATTGCTGTGAAAAATTATTACATAGCACTAAGCACCGTATCAGGACAACTACCCCCTGGGTAATCACCCCCCCCCCCCCCCCCCCCGGAAAATCCCCCCCGGAAAACTACCCCATAGGACAATCACCACCACCCGGAAAATTACCCCCGGAAAATTACCCCCGAGGACAACTACTCCCTAAGAACAATTACCCCCTGAAAAATTACCCCCGGACAATTACCCCCTGAGAACAATTATCCCCGAGGACAATTATCCCCCCCCCCCCGACAATCATCCCCCAAGGAATTTGTAACAATGTGACGTATAATGCGAGCTTCTCTCCAAGTTGATATTTAAAAAAAAAAAATCTTTCATTTTCTTAGTTATTTATGGAGTTCATTTCAGTCTTATCAAATTATTAAATTCGAGATGGGGATGGAGGTTGCCCAATCCCTCCGTTGTTTTGCCACTGAGTAAAGAACATCAATTATATTTCTTAAATTTCTTAGAAATTTAACAATACATTACGCGCAGATGAGTACGCGTTACAGCCTCACTCACCAACAATGGCACAACAAAGAAATTAAGATATAAGATTTCATTTATGCATCCTCTGCAACGTTTTTAATCAGCCCTCATCCATGATCAAACATTAAGGTTTTCTTCACGTTATCTTTATATTTCTGTTGTCATGCTGAAGTATAACATGATTTCTTGTACGGTAAATTATGTTTAAATAGAAATTGCCTTCAAGTTATATGTACGATGCCATGTCAAAAGAAAATAAATATCCGCTCTCTGGTAATTCATATCATTTGATTTTGTAACTCCAGCGCAGTGTTTTGCAAGAGAATGCTAGTTACATTTGGAAAACGTTTATTTTGTGAAAAACAAATATCAGATTTTTTTTGCAGTACGATATAAAGTAAAATGAAATGGGCCTAAACACCCAACAGCGCGATTTCTTATGCATTTTACCCAATTTGTGAAATCGCAAGGGAACACTGGAATCATTAGGTGTACGGACATGTTTTTATGGGGGTGATGACTCTCGGGTCAGCTTCAACCGTCCTGATTATAAATATCACAAGCGAGCTAATAATTAATTAACAATATGCGGGCATGGGGGTTGCAGCAATCAGCCCCGGCCCCAACGATTGCAATCGAACGGTAGAGTCTCTATAATTTTAAACGTCGATAAGCAGTTTTCTCCTAGATTGTTAAATGTTAAACCTGTAACGCCATTTATACACTCCGGTATATTTGGGGCGAAATATTTAACAATAGAATGATGGAACCTATAATAGGGAGCAAAGCAACGACAAATTCAAAACCTAAACCTTATGTATGAACTATATCCTATATTCGGGCGCAAAATTACGAGATCCGCAAGCAACATATGCGAGGGAGGTTAGCGACCTTGATTTAGAACATTTTTGCGTTTTAACCCCTCATTTAACCCTTTATGCTACGTATTATAATCATTACGGATAAAGATTTTTTTCCTCCAGTTTCCCTTATTTCTTTTGCATTTCTTTTCAAATTTATTAATTTATTTTTTATCTTTATATATTCATAAATTCATTCGTTCACTTATTTCTGATTTTTATAAAATTAGCTTGTTACCTACATGTCTTTAATAATGCCATGATTGGTACAAATATCTTTTAAAAAAATTGTAAATGTATAGACTCAGTCATAGCCGCAACAAAAAAAAATAAAAATGATATAACATTTTTTGGGGGTAATAAGTGGGGATAAATTATCCTGGCATATTGGCTACATTATATATCGTAACTATTAGTGTTTACCTGACTTATCTGCCTCGGAGAAGGTAGCATTACGCGCCTCAAAGTATTGATCATATGTAGATGTCTGTCTTTGCTGCCAATCAGTGAGCATTTGGTAAGTATCGAAGAGAGCTATCTTGTTTTCAGTGATAATTTCCTCAGCCTGAGTCGTTTCAATATTTTCATCAATTGCCATGCAGTGCTTCATTAAGACACGGTTCGTATGTTGTTCAAGAGCTTGCAATTTATCTGCAGTAATGTCCTTTAATACTTCAACATCTGAAATTCAAGAAAAAGATTCATTAAAAATCGCTTTCCCAAATATCTTTGATTCACATTGCTTTTTCATCATCGTTGACATAAATACCAAGATCAATTTTAATAACTTGAGTAAAAAGATATTTTCCAAGAATCGATTTTTTTTCCCAGATCACATTGATATCTCATAAATAACAATTGCTTCCTTACCCAGATAGCATAATAAGGCCTCATAAACCTTTGAAATTAGATTATATTATTCTGCCAAATTTAACCGATTAAGGATCTTACAAAAAAACATGTGAAAATGTATTTCGCAGTAAAAAAATAAATAAAACACGGATTCTGAAGATGCTGTCCTCTAAAATGTTGTTAGTTTGATTATATTTTGACTGTCCAAATAGCCCAACTCTTCACCCATGTGTTATATGGATGCGCTTAGGGACGTAATATTATAATTTGATATGCACTGTACAAGAACGGTTAATTCTTATTCATTTATCTTATTTTTATCTATTGCATTTAAAAGTTCCTTTGTCTATGTTTTCCTGAAATGCAATGCATTCCCCTATACCAATGCTAAGCTTGTAAAAATACATACATCATGATGCTCATTTCTTTAAATTTGTGTTAAATCTTACCTTCCAATTCCTGGGAGTGATCAATTCGTGAGACAGAGAGAAAGCTAGCTCGTTGGAGCGAAGTGTAGCTAGCTGGGAAAACAATATAGATGTATACTTTACATTTGAACAGAATAATGCAATGTATTAAAGTGCTTATGCATTTTGCAACATTTGTCACACCTTCAGAAAAGCTCATTCATACGTCGATGAGAGGTAAGCGGATGCCTAACTTCGCCTCTTGTTTTTGTATAGTGCTTGTAATCAAGATCTTATCAATTTCATCGATAAACAAACTTTGATCATTAATGTATGATAGCCGAGTAAGCATTTATTTAACGAAAGTTTATTTCGTAGTTACCACGGATTCTTAAAATGTTATCCTGTGAGATTTCGGTAGTTTAGTTATATTTGGCCTGTTCAAATGGCCCAAATCTCTTCAACCAGATGTTAAATGAGAGCGTATGGGGATGTCGTATCATATTTTGATTTGCCATGTACTAGAAACGGTATCTATTGCATTTACAATTTCCTTAATATTTTTTTCTTGAAATACAATACATTCACCATAACTCATGCTTTGCTTTTAGAAATACATAAATCATGATGACTGGTTATTTTTCATTTGTGTTAAGTTTTACCTTTCAGTCCCTGGGATTGATTATTTCTTCGTGGGATGTACAAGTAGCTACCTAGTGGGAGCGAGGTGTAGCTAGCTGGAAAATAATATAGATGTTTATTGTAGATCAGAACAGACTAATGCAATGAAAGGGCTGAATGTATGTTGCAATAATTTTTAAAGCTTAAACAAAGGTTCATACATACGTCGTTAGAGTTAAAACGGTTGTACAACTTCACACTTGGTAATTTACAGTGCTTGCAATCAGGAAATTATCAATTTTTATCGATAAACAAAATTTGATCAAAAATGTATATTAGCCGAGTAAGCATTTTTTGTAACGAAAATGTATTTCGAATTTGAAAAAAATGGATTTTAAAACGTTATCCTGTGAGATTTCGGTAGTTTGGTTATATTTGGCCTGTTCAAATAGCCCAAATCTCTTTAACCAGATGTTAAATGTAAGTGCATGGGGACGTTGTATCATAGTTGTATATGCCCTGTAAAAGAACGATTTATTATTTTGTATTTATCTTATTATTATCTATTGCATTTACAATTCCCCTTATATTGTTTTCCTGAAATACAATGCATTCACCATAACTCATGCTAAGCTTTTAGAAATACATAAATCATGATGACTGGTTATTTTTTATTTGTGTTAAGTTTTACCTTTCAGTCCCTGGGATTGATCATTTCTTCGTGGGGTGCACAAGTAGCTACCTAGTGGGAGCGAAGTGTAGCTACCTGGAAAATAATATAGATGTTTATTGTAGATCAGAACAGACTAATGCAATGAAAGGGCTGAATGTATGTTGCAACAATTTTTAAAGCTTAAACAAAGGTTCATACATACGTCGATAGAGTTAAAACGGTTGTACAACTTCACACTTGGTAATTTACAATGCTTGCGATCAGGAAATTATCAATTTTTATCGATAAACAAAATTTGATCAGAAATGTATATTAGCCGAGTAAGCATTTTTTGTAACGAAAATGTATTTCGAATTTGAAAAAATGGATTTTTAAAACGTTATCCTGTGAGATTTTGGTATTTCGTCTTCATAATATTGAATAATTTTCTTCTTCAAAGAACTAAAATTTGGAATTTCGT